GGCTTGACTTATGTTTGGAAACTTTTAACTTTGCGTTCAGGCTCTAGACAATTACCAAGTGCGTGTCCGCCGTGCATGTTGCGCCGCAAAGTGTCGTATTCGAGGATGTGGAGAATTCCTGGCTACCACCACTCCTGTGAGTATCCAGATTTGCTCCATTGCCTGTATCTGGGAACTGAGAGGGATGCCACTGCGTCTCATGTTATGGAGCTGGCGAAGTTTTCTCCGCAGTTTCAGGCTTACGAAACGTGGGATGAAAGGTTGCATCACCTGCATGTGGACTTTCAGATGTGGTGCACGGAGCACCATATCCGACCCAGCATTCTTGATGGACTGAGTCACCCAGCTGCTCGTATTTTCGGCTGCTGGAACCACTCCGTACTGACAATTCGTGCTGCATCCGCAAAATATATCTGAGGTTTGGTGAAGCTGGGAATCGATGCGGTCACATTGGAGTACCCGAAGGGGCCGGGAAAAGGATATGCAAACCGTGTCTTGTTGCTTGGCACACCAATAATTCAGCAGAGAGGGAGAGTATAGGGAGAGCGCAAAGGGAGCAAAGCACAAACATTGCATGTGCCTATATAAGGATGGCGTACTTAGCCGAACGGCTGTCTGCCTCTTGCCTTGCGATATTCTCTGCTTGACGATCTGCGGTCCACGCTTGTATTCAGCTGTGGTTTGTATAGGATTTGGGCCTAAGGAGGTTTGCCAAACGATTCCCGAGCTTCGATTGGCGGCAGTGAATGCCTGGTCGATCACAGCATTCTCGAATTTGCTGGACGCCTGCTCAATCTGGCTGTCGGATGAGCAGGCAATGCTGGCGCAGCAGAACCGTTGCTGCACCGGTGTTGCGTGTGTGTGGAGCCCTGTTGTGCAAAAACGAATTTTGTAGAAGTCTGTGATGATCCAAGGCTCGGCAGATGGTATTGCCACTCCTACCTGGCCCTGGCATCGCGATATCTCGAGATGCTGGAGCCACGGCCTCCCGTCTAAATATGTGATTACATGCAAGCATGGACTGTGCTAACGATCAAGAATATGAGCAGAACCGCACTCAGGTATAAGATCAGGCCAAAGTTTCATCAATATCATTGCGAATGCGTTTGCAGATTGACATACAGCCGATTGAATCCCCGGTACGCCGGGTGCAATCTCGAGGAGGACTTTGTCGGCAAAGTCATGAAATGTGCCCGTGGGGCCGTGCACGCCGCTACGCTGTCGCTCCGAGTGCTGCAAAGGTGGCTCTTGCAGTATAACTGCTGGCTGGCGGGGCGGTAAAACAAGAAGCGGTTCAGTTCGATTCGTTGGGCAACTTTTGCGATTTCACATAGCTTGATATATTGCTCAGGCCCAACTATCATTTCGGGCAACATCTGAGTGAGATTTGCCACAGCTATAGGCCCAAATATCATTTCGCAGGGGCGCCCTATATATAGCTGCGTGAGTGCATGTGCAACAATTTTGCATAGCTTGATCTACGCGATGCCGCCCAAATAACATTTCGGGCAACATCTGTTGGCGCATTGGCTTGCCACTCATGCATGAGCGTGCATGGATGCCGGTAAATATAGTGGCTTGCGAGCAGTCGTGTCTGCGCTGGGGTGGGCTGGGCAATTTCAGATTTCGTGACAACCTAAAAACTTAAACCGCCAACTCCAAATATTATATATGTACATATATATATATTTACATATATAATATTTGGAGTTGGCGGTTTAAGTTTTTAGGGTTTCGGGTTTAGGCCTTCGCGTTTGGGGTTTGGGGTTTAGGGGTTGGTTTGAGTCTTCGGAATCTAGGCCTGCATATTCTCGCTGGAGTCTTCAGATATCATATATTTGGCCTCACATACTGTAGGGTCGGGGGTTTAAGCTATTGAGAAATTGGGCTTGGGGCTTAGGGCCTGCTTTTGCTCGGGGTACATGTGGGTACAAGATGTTTCGGATTTAGGGTCTGCGGGGCTTGGCATTTGATGTTTGGGGTTTGGGGTTGGAGGGTGAGGCTTTTCAGTTTGTCAGGCTTCCTCGGGTTTCGTTGATACGTTTAATTGTTTGCGTGTAGGCTTATAGTACAGCGGAATAATAGGGTTTGGGGTTTACTTCGGCCCGTGTTTGTGGGTTGGGTGCTTTGCTGGCGTTTATTGGCTTGATGATAGCCAGGGTTTATGGTGTAGCCGCGGTCTGATGGGTTAGGCCCCGCGGGGTGTGTAGGTTTCTAAGGGTTCGCGGTGGCTCCGCGCGGGGTGTGTAGTTTTCAGGGCTCGCACGGTGGCTAAATTATTTATCTGGGGTCCAACTTTGCTGTGGCTTCCGGAGTAAAGAACGTACTGTTTGTCTACGTACGTGTCACATTACTGCGATGGCCGAACAAATATCGCAGCTACTTTCCCCTGATGCAGCCTTTGTTTGTCCTGACTGCGGTTGCCACAATCTATACGGAATTACTTATTAGGACGTATCTACGTGCTTGACAACGCAATCGTGACTGATGTCATCCGATGCTTACGAAGCTTGGGCATTTCACGCGACATGTTTGCTGCATTCTGTGCGAAAGTGAGGAGAGAAGGAAGGGAAAGGTCTTTTTCAGGGTTTTGGGGTTCTTCTAAACGCTACACAACACATGTTTGCTTACAAAATACATACACATACTATATAATGCACACATGTATCTCTCCGTTTTTGCTTGAAATCCGCCAGAACTGTTTTGTTTTTTATTTTTTTTGTTTTTTGGCTCAAGTGGCTGCCTTCCATCACTCCCGGCTCAGGTCCCCCAACACGCAAGCCTCCGAAAGCACAAAAAACAGCGTGACGCTGGCCTGTCCTTAGAAAAAAAAATGTACTTAAGTACAAATTTCCCAAAGGACAGGCGTGCAGGTATGGCCACTGCAGCGAGTAGGCGAGTAGCAGAACTCAGTGTTGCTTGCTGGTTTCGTGCACACGGCTTCAGAGTTCAGAACTTCGTTGGACTTCGGCATAAGCATGTGTCAAGACATGACGTCAGAAAGCTGTGTTGTGCCATTTCTTTGTAGTGGAGGCTTGATTGATTGACTGCCATCGGACAAGCAAGTGGAGACCGACCGACGCGAAACAGGTTCTAGCTCTGGCTGCAAGTTGCGGACTGTCGCAGTGCTGTCCCAGAGTTCGGTGCCTGATGTTGAATGCTGTCTGGATGGCTTGTGCAAGTACTTGTGTGTCCCATATCCCATATATGTCTATGTGGTTCATTCAAAAGGCGCCCAACCTTAGATAAGAGCCCAGGCACATTACCAGAGGCAAATCGGGTTATGTTGTGATAAGCCCATGTGTGCTTATTCCATTCAAAACAGCTCCCCAAAAACCTTAGGGCAATTCTCCTTTGGTCGACGGCCTGCGGTTTCACGCGCCCCTCGGAAATCACAAAAGCCAGCCGCGGACAACTTTTCAATTGTTTAGATTAGTTTTTTAAAAATTTATATTTTTTTTGTATTTTTTTGTGGTTTTTGGTGTTTTTTACTATTTTTTGGTTGTTTTTACCAAACGAGGCTTAGAAGCCAACACAAATCTACCAAATACCAGGTGTGCTGGATTTCTGGGTTCGGGATCTGGCGTTGTGAAATATACAAATTGGAAGCCGCCTAACCGGTCCAGCTCCCCCATTGACTGCGGCACTGGAAAGTTGGCCAAACATATACCAGGGTGATGTTGTTTTTTCTACGGGCATGCTTCCAGGATAGTTTTCGCTTACCGGTGTACCATTTTCATCTTGGCAAATGGGCATGTGAAACTCTACGTGCAGAGCGCCAGCAATGTTTTGGAGTTCGATATCCAGCTGCCTTGGCGAGGAATGATGTACGAGCTTCCCCGGAGTCCCCCGGAGTTCCCCGGAGTTCCCCGGAGTCCCCCCAAGTCCTACCCTCGAACTCTACGGGGTGTGGCCCAGTGAAGCTGGAAGATCTAACATTTGAGCCAAAACCAGTTTTTTTCGCTATTTTTAGTTTTAAACGCATTTTCATTAATATTTTTTATTAAAACATGCTAAAACATGCAAATCTATGCAAAAACATACAAATTGGGGGTTTTTGTGAAAAGTAGCTTTCTGGTGCCATATCTTTGCGGTTGGCAGCTGCCCACTTTGGCCTTTGGAGGAATTTGACCGCCGGACCGCCACCACCGCCCTGCCCGGCCCTGCCCTGCCCCCCCCCCTCCCCCCCTGGCCCCCCTTTTCGGACCGCCCACTTGTTGGCGCGGCCTCTGGCTTGCCCGGCCACACCCACCCACCCACCCCTTCCCCTGCCCCCCTGCCATGACGATGGGAATGGGAATGATTGGAAGAAGAAGAAGAAGTGCTGACAGTGCTGACCTCAGGCCTCTCTTGGATTCATGAATTTAATGAAATGATATGTTGCCTTGGTGAACCTTGCTGTGGCAAATGAGCTGGCTAAACTTGGCTTCGGGGCTGGAGCTGGCTTTCTGGGTGACAGTTAAAATGTATTTTTCAATTTTCCCATTTTATGATGGTGCATGATGCAAAGCCGGTCGGTTTGGTGGGCAGTTGGTGGTTGCCACAGTTGCCACTGTAGAACTCGGGAAAGCAACTTGGAACCTGCGTAGAAATATGGAGTCACTCCTTTTAGGGTGCTTGGGGTTTTCCTGGTGGTGGACTGATGCTGATGATGCCTGCATTCAGAGGTTGAAGGCTGGGCCCGGGCACCTTTTGAATGGACCAATAGGTTGTCAGAGTGAGAGTTTCAGTGACACAAGCACAGTTCGCAAGACATGTCCTGTCGTGTGGTCAATGTGATGCAGTACATATCCCACCATTTCAGGCTCGTTTACACACATAGATCCAACATGAGTGCAAAGTCTTTCCTTTGTGTGTTGTGAGTTTACATGCCTGTAAAGTATATAGCAGTTGCTGCTTTGGCGGTGGTAGGTAGTGTCGAGTGAGAGTTCACCGATGCGGTCTGGGCATAGGACTCGTGTGCTCACTTCACGTAGATCATGAGGGCATCGTCGCCGGCAATGGCAAGTGGCAAGCGCCGAAGGGTGCTTCAAAGATGCACATCTGTAGAACAGGAGCCTGACTGCGAGGCGTGTGACTTGTCAGCAGCACCTCCTGGTCTTCGCTGCAAGGACGATGTTGTGGAATGGCCTTTAGATGTTGTGAAGTCATTGTGTGGTGCTGGCAATGAAGAATGCCAGCTACGATTGCGGAATCATGTCTTGAAAGGGATGGTCTTGACCACAGATTACAGTGGTTTGGACTGTCCAAGAGAAGCCCTGCAGATGGGCGTCCGAGCACTGCAGCATGTCATGCACATGGAGCCGGCTGGGGAGGTAGTGCATGTTGGTCGCACATGTGACAAAGGCTTGCTTCAGAAGCGAGTGCAGGTGGAGCTAGCTCGCAGCATCGAGGCCGTTTTGCAGGATCATGAGAGGTGCCATTTTGAAGACATTTTGCATCGTCTACCCCAGTCTGGTCAGGATTGGATTGCAGCAGCTTCCCCTCAGAAGGGTGCTAACAAAAAGGAGCGTTCAGATGCGTATGCTGCCATCGCAGACTGGTTGATGCAGAACCGGTCGTGGCTTTTCAGCGAGAATGCCACAGCTTTTTGCTGCGTGCATCAGAGGCCGGTGGCATCGGTTTCCAGACGGGGGTGGGGGATGTAGTCAAACTTCAGAAGTGCACGTGTAGGTATGTTGAGAGCATCAGTGGCTATGTCATGTGTGCAGCCAGTAGAAGTGTCAGCAGCTTTTTGGGACATGCAGCAGAAGTCTTGCCGACCTGTCTACTGGTGTACCATGTACTCCCAGTCTCCTTGTCGTGAGTCCAATCTTACTTCCTTTCGTTTTATCTTGTTCCACACTGCATAAACATCTTCGCTGGATATGTCTGTCAATGGGCAGGCACTGCCCCGTGCACCAGTGTCTGCTTGGAGACAAGGAGCAGCGCTTGAGGATCAACGTAGCCGGGGTAACATGCCACGCGTGGTCAAGTGAGGGCTTGCTTGAGGGAACTTCGCATGAGTCAGAAATACCTCTGGCAGTATGGTTGACTGAGCGCAAGTTCATGTTCGAGGCCGAGTTGGAGGACGTTGCTTTCTTGGAGTGTACTCCAAGATTCCCGGCCCAGGAACGTTTGGAGCGCGTGCTCGGGGACAGTGCGAGTGTCTTTGCTTGGCACGATGGTCCCGAGTGGCATGGTTGGCCACATAGACGCCGTCGGGTGTTGGCTGTGGCAGTCAACAAGCGCACTGCTGCCTGGGTGGGGGAGACAGACCTCCGCACTCTGCAGGAAGAGTACGCTCGCCGGTTCTACCGGCAGATGTGCTCCACTGGCGAGTTGCTCATGTTGGCGAGCGATGAAGAGAGGATCAGGGAGATGACAGCAATAGCTGTTGGGCGCAAAAACAACGTGAGTACCGAGGCCGTGGCCGAGCTTGTGGAAAAGCGCGACATGGACCAGTTGGCCTGCTTGTTGTTCCCGCCAGGTGGTGTTCGACGCTTGGCAGAGTGGCAGGATGTTTTCCTGGAGAAGAAGGCCGAAGCCCCCCGCTTGCGAGCCTTTCTCTGTGATGTGGACCATGCTGTCGGCGGGAAAGGAGAGGGTTGCAAGTAAAAGTACAAGTTCAGAAGTTTTGAGGGTTCGCAGCTGATGATCATTGTTGCTACCGGAGCTTCGCAAGAGTCCTAACGTCTAACGATTTGCACGCTTGTGTCCTAGGCAGTGAAACGTTGAATAGGATAACCTTTTAATTGTAGTGTGTGTTATCGCTGAAAACTTGAACCGTCAGCGCCTGTAGATTTGAGTAGGCAACGCGAAAAATTGGTTCAAGGCTTGAGCTTTAGCTCGAGGGACATGCAGTGACACACATGACAAAATGACAAAACTGACAAACCCAAGCTTGTAAGGCTGTGGGCGGTTGGGCTGCAGTTGACTTGCTTGACAGCCAGGACCATGCGGAGGTGAGCTGTGGCCAACACAGTTGACCCACGGCTCCATCATCTCCTTTCAGCAAGGAGACGAAGGGGGTGGCTCCAAGCCGCCGTGGCGTTTGGCCACCTCGCGCGAGCATCTCAGTGCCTTGGGTTGGAGGATGCATGGTGGTTCGAATCTTTTCCCAGTTTCCCACATGGCTACGGTGCTGCAAAACTTAGAGCTCACTCCAGCCCAAGTGAAAGTCCTCGCTGGCAACTCCATGCACCTCAGAACCCAGATGGCTTTCATGCTGTATGCTTTGGGCCAGATCATCAAGAAAAATCCCGGAGCTTTGACGCTCACACGAATGTCAACCTGGATGGATGAGGAGCAGGAGGATCAGTCTCAGTAGCTACTCAGCAGTTGTTTTTGAGAAGTCTTCTTGTCCCCACATCGTATAGGATGTGGAAGATGAGGGAACATTTTGGACGAGGCCTTGTCGGCTTAGCAAAGTAGCAGATCATGACCAGGATCCAAACGGAAAAGTGCAGAAGTCAGTGCAGAGAGGCAGCCACTGTTGCAATATTGAATCAAGTTGAATATGCCGTGTTACTGCAGAAGCATGGGAAAGGTAGCGTGTTGGCACTTCGTTCTGAGTTCGTTCCTACATGTGCAGATTGCAGGAGCATGTCGTTGTCGTGTCGACCGACTCTGACCAACTCCCGCTTCTCTAAAAGCTGTCAGCAGTGTGTGAGTGTGTTGGAGCGTTAGACCTTGCAGTGCCAAGCAAGATGAGTGATGACGAGATGGATGATGAAGACCTGCTTGGTGGCTTCTTCAAGCAGGAAGCCGATGATGAGGACGACGAGGCACTGAGCGACGGCCCTGCTCGTGGGCGGAGTCGTAAGCGGCGTGTCTCGGGCGGCGGTGATGATTGGAGAAGCGGTCGGGGCCGGGGAGGTCGCGGTCGTGCCGGTCGCGCCAGGGCCAAAGCCAAGCAGCACGATAGGGACAAAACCTGCTTTGCTGCAACATGCGAAAAGAAAGTCAAGCCACACTCGAAGTTTTGTGGCGATCACCACAAGGACGCGGAAGCTATCAAATACCAGGCAAGGCAGAAAAAGAACCCAGAGATCACCGCGGCAGTGGAGGCTGCTTTGAGCGATCCGGCTAAGGCCCAGCTTGCTCTGGATGACTTCCACAAGAACAACCCCAGTGGTAAGTTCCGAAAGTCTTTGATCGACTGGACGCAGTTTCAACAGACTTTTGGGAAAAGGGCCGAGTTTCGCGTGCGCAACAATGAGGAGCAGATGGACGTCACTGACTATGTGCAGTACCAGAAGGGCCGTGGGTACACGGACGAGGAGGCTCTGCAGAAATGGAAGGACCTCCTTGAGACAGATGTTGAACGAGAAGGTGAAGGAATCGACGTCAAGGTCTGGGTTGTTCGCAACAAGCAGCGCTTCCGAGACAACATTCGCTTCAACCAGAGCTCTCTGGAGGAAGCTTCCAAGCAGGTGAAGGGCATGGCAGAGAGCGACAGGACATCGTGAGTAGTGTGGGCTCCAGTTCCAAGGCTTTGGGACAGGTGTTTTTTACAGTTCAGCAAGCACCCTTTATCAATCATGGACAACTTGTGGGTTGTCCCAACGACATGAATGATAGCTTCATTTGTTTATATTCTCTGCACTAGACCGCTTCATTCGCAGAGAGTTGAAGCCCACTGATGACATTGTACCATGCGACACTAACAAGTCGTGGCCCCACTCACCCAAGTTATCCAAGCGTGCGCAGGCAGGACCTTCTTGAGCACGTGAACAAGCAGTGCGATTCGTTTGCTGATCCCTGGTTGCGTCGAGGTGCAGGTCAACAGAGCGACGAGCCAGCTTCCGGTTCGAGGGCAGCAGCTGCCACCCCATCTGAAGGCATTTTGCCGGCCAGAGCAGGTTCCGGGGCTTGTGGTTGGATGTCCTAGATTTGTGCTGGTTGTGTACTAAGGTTCGGGATTTGGCTAGTGTTGTGGCTTTCGCTTAGCGCTTTAGGGTTTGGCGTCTAGGGTTAGGGGAGTATAGGGTTTCAGGTTATTTAGGATTTTCGGGTTTAGGTTTGTAGAGTTTGAGTTTACACTGATAATTTTCCAATGCACCAGGTGGCAGAGTTGAGATTGCCATTGCAGCTCCGAAAGCATTCGAGAAGAATGAGAGGATTGTGCCATCGTGCAGGCAGCTTGCGTGGCAGTCAAGGAGGTTTTGGAGTTGGCCAGCAGCAATGTCAGCGACGAGAAGTTGCAGCGGGCATATGAAACCAATTGCGTGGTTCGTTTGCATGTGCTGCAGATTTGGCTAGCAGACTCTGTGCAAGACATTCCAACGCAGAGGGCTTTGCCGTCAGCTTCTTTGTCAAGTGCCTCTGTGCAACCAGCTTCCGCGGCGGAGGCCTCCACGGCCACGCAGTCGGAGGAGCAGAAGAAGGAGACGGCTCAGGATGCGGATAAGGCTGAGGCTGAGAAGGCAGATGGCGGCGACGGCGACACCAAGCAGAAGTCTGAGGAGCTTGAGAAGGCCAAGGACTCCAAGGACGTCCCGACGGAGACGAAGGATCCACCGGCCGAGGCAGTTGATGGTGACGCTGCCAATGGCCCGCCTGCAGATGCTAAGTCTGTGGCTTCGAGTACTCCTGTGAACACTGTTGCCAAGATTACCAGTGCTTTGAAGAAGGCCCTGGATGCTGGGAAATCCTCTGCTCAGCACGTCAAGGACAGCAGCCATGTCATGTGTCGTGCACAGATGGAAGAGGTCCATCGAAGCTTCTTGGACTGCGAGACCGTGGAGGACTTGAACCAGCAGGTTGAAGTCCTGAAGAATGCAGCCGCAGTGGTGAAGCAGCTCAAGGACGGTGCCAGCAAGGCTGCTGGCAGTCTGAAGGCACACATACTCAATCGTCAGAAGGCTCAGAAACGCAAGCGAGTTCAAGAAGAGAAGCAACAAGAGCAAGTTGAGATGTCTGCCAAAAAGAGGGAGGCTAAGCAAGCCTTGGAGGAGGTGAAGAAGCAGGAGACGACCCTGCCGCCCATTTTCAACATCGACCTTGACAGTTTGAAGAACGATGAAGGCGGCTTGGTTGGCAAGCCTGTGACGATCCTGAGCGGCCCCGGCAAGGGCTCCATCAACTCCGTGGACACACCGTGCTGCATCACGAGCTTCACAGCCCTGACCAATTTCTTGAAGAACCCGAAGGCTGCTCGATATAATGTTCACTACAGTTGGGTTGGGGTCTGTAGTTTCTATTTTTTATAGGGTTGTATTTTGTTGTATTTCGCCGCTGGGTGTTCTAGAGATGGGGATCTTGTGATGTGTGTGTGCGTGTGTGTGCGTGCGTATGTGTGTGTGTGTGTGTGTGTCTAGGTGCCCCTATGCCTCTGTGTTGTTTCATGCAAACACGTTTCCAGGTTCAAGTCATGCTCGGTGGCTTCGGAGGCTCTTACAAGAAGGCCGCAGCTCTGAAAGCATCGGGGAAATGCCAGGAGTTGATTCAGAAGGGCAATGGAATGGAGGAGTGCGAGACTCTCTTCAAGGAGGTGGGCGAGCTCTTCAAGGAGGCTTCCTTCACCAGTCCTGGAGCTGGCGACATGGAGCGCTACCTCACCAACATCCTGCAGGCGAGCTGGCTCTTCGGGTATGAAGCACAGTCGGCACATCTGAACCAGCTTCCAAACGGTTTGGGGTGCTTTCGGTTGCTGTGTTCGGGCGAGATTGCTTGGACGCTGTATGATCTCAAGAAGCTTGTGCCAGCGATGAGGGTCATGCTCAACAAGGACGACATTGGGGGCTTGGAGGGCGTGTCAGTCTTCTTGAAGGGCCTCAATGACCGGGATATGATCACACTCGCGTCCCATGGATGTGCTCCTCAGTGGATCCTTCAGAAGGAGGGGCAGATTCTTTTCATCCCAGCTGGGTTCGTCGCTACTGAGCATTGCAAGCGCGGTGTGTTGGTGTATGGCATCCGAAAGACGTTGCTGTACGTTTCACAAGAGGCCGCTGACAGCTACAATGTTTTGATCAGCTTGCATGAGGCTTCAAAAAAGCCTGTGGACAAGTTGAAGGCGACGGCTTGCTTCTTGAATCCTCCCGAGGTGGAGTGAAGCTTCGCTCTGACGCTCACGCTGCCGGGTCATAGGATTAAGTCAAGAGTTTCAGTGTGGTAGCATAAGTTACACTTCAGCTGTTTGTTCGAGTTGATGGCAGCTTTGTGACAGAGACCCCGATCTCTGTTGTGTTTTTGAAACAGATTATCGTGCCCTGCTGATGGCCAGCAAAAAACACAGGCCAGCTGGTCGCGCTCACTTCGGCTGTTCTCGAGTACAAACCACGAGCTGTACTGTACTTGACCTGAAGCACATTCTTTTGCCTTTGCCCGAAGCTTTGGGAAGTTCCAGTAGACTTTTTTAGTTCTTGGTAGTTGCTGAAATCCTTGCAATCGTAGTCTTATCGGTATGGATCCCAGTAGTTGGCCCTCACTCTGCGAAGATTGTAGACACATTGTGCAATGTGTAGAGTTGGTCGGATTGAAGCCCAGAAGATCCACAAATAGACCAGACGTAAAGGGCTGCAGGCGAGTAGTGTGCATAAAAACGTGTGACCGTAAAAACAACCACTTTCCGAAGCTTTGAAAGGCTTTCAATCTCAACAGCGCGAAACTCAAAACGGGGCAAGACTAGGCATCACAAACATCGCGCTAATGTCGAACACACTTGATTGATCTGAATTCCCCGGGGTCGCCCGGAGAGCAAACCTGCGAAGGGAATCCACGCAAGTAAGCATCGCCAAGCCAAACGCGAGATCCTTGACGAACAACTTCAGCAGGCTTGGCAAGCAGACAGGCAAGGGGATAAGTCCGCAATTTGGCAGGTTATTAGACGCCTAGCACCGAAAACCGCTAGGGTTCGTATTCAACTTCGGGGCGCCAAAGGTGAGCTGTTGACCAAGCGAGAAGAGGCAAAAAGATTTACTCAGTACTGTGAACAGGTTTACCACCTGCCCCGTGATCTCTCATCAGAGGAGTCCTCTCTCTTTGACCAACCATGTGACGCTACTCCCACCCCTGCTCTGCCACCCGATACTCATAAGTATGCCCAACCATCTCCGGCCCCCCTGGTGGATGGCCGGCCCCAACAGGCGCTAACCAGTCATCCTCTCAGTGAGGCCGAGCTTTTGTTGGCGATCAACACTCTCCCTGCCCGAAAGGCCACACCACAGCACCTTGCGCAACTTCTATTATGGCACCTTGGCAAGGAGGCGGTAGTACCACACCTTGCTACCCTTTGTGAGAACCTATGGGAGAAGCCTGGGACGTTCTACCGACTATGGGCTGATGCATGGGTAGCCTGGCTTCCTAAGCCAGGAAAACCGCCGGACCAGCCTGAGAACCTACGACCTATAGCATTGACGGAGGGAGGGGGCCGCATCGTTGTCAAAGCTTTAACCATGCGCCTTCGCCCAATCTTTGCCGAAGCCACCAAACTGTGGCCCCAGTACGCTTACACAACTGGCAGAAGCATAGACCATGCGATCATACGTGCCTTGCATCACTGCTCCCAGGTCCAACAAATCCTGGCGTCGCAACGTCTTACACTACGAGAACGTCGTCACACTGGCCGGAAGCCCACCTCTTGTCAAGGGGGAGTAACGCTCTCTATTGATACGAGCAAAGCGTTTGACACTGTCAACAGACAGGTTCTCGAGCAAGAGCTGCGGGCGGCCCGTGTACCGGAGCCGGAGCTGGCAGTTATCCTCAATCTCCACCACTGCATTGGCTACTGGCCTGCAGGCCAGGACCCCACAACTCGGCAGGGATGCCCACTAGCACCGAGCTTATGGACTCTCATCACCATCGCACTGTTTCGTGCGCTGGCAGGCGTTACCTCCGTAACATGGCTGCAAGAGGACACCACGATGTTCGCGGACGATCTACTACTCCAGTGGATCGTCCACCGAGTTCAGGATTTGGAGAATATGGTGGACATCATCGCCCACACCTTTCGGATCCTAGCTCAGCTTGGCCTTCAAGTTCAGCATCGGAAAACACAACTCATTGTGGCATATAAAGGAAGGCAGGCCACACAATGGTGGCGAGCTCACACGGCCACCACTGCGGAGGGCCGCTTCCTGCTTATACCCCAACCTGGCAGCAAGGCACTCCGCCTGCCCATTGTGACTAAGCTGACGTACCTAGGCATTATCCTATCCTATGTGGATGCCACCACTGCCACTGTTGACTGTTGACCACCGTCTGCAGGTAGCCGAAGCGCAGCGAGCTCGCCTTCTCAAGGTCCTCCACTCCCGCACACTGCCCACGACTAAGAGAGTCCAGCTCTGGCAAGCTTGTGTTCGGAGCTCTGCTCTGTATGGTCTACACCTAGTCGACTTACAGCAAAGGCATGTGGTCCGGATCACAGTCACCTTGGTTAGGCATCTGAGAGCCATCGCACGCAGCTTTGCGCACATGACTCAGGAATCTAGCAGAGCGCTGCTCGAGCGCCTGAACGTAGAGGACCCCTTACTTTCCTTGCTGCAACGGAGCCAAAAACTTCTTGTCAAGACTCGTGAGTCTAGCGATCCCATGGTCGCCAGGGCTCGGATCATGCACTGGTTGGTTCATATCACTGAATCCAAACTGGCGCTGACCTCACACCTGGACCGGACCGTAGCGGAGCCCCTGGTTATTAACCCGTCACCTCAAGATGCTGACCTCCAGTCTGAGGCGATCGCAGCTGCATCTCCCACGCTCCTGCCCGGCCCCCTGAAAGGGGTGCCGTACGGAGCCCCTGTCGCTGGTAAGCACGGTCCTAGAACCACTCCTTTCTCCTGCCCAACCTGCGACCTCTGGTTTCCGGACCTGGCTACTCTTAAAAGGCACCATATTCAGTTTCATGAAACCCCCCTACCCAACCCTCTCCTTCAGATGGATGCAGCAGAGGTGCGCAAACACAGCATCGATGGGATGCCCGTTTGTATGCACTGTCGTAAGGACTTCACCACCTGGCACAACTTTAGGAGACATATCACGCAAGGGCACTGTACCCAACATCGACAACAGCTGGACCCCTCCTTAGTGGTGTCATCCGAGGATACAGTCTCTGCATTAAGTAGCCACACTGACCCGGTTCGTGAGCCCTCTCATCCCTCTTCAATTTCCACACCTGCCACCACTGATCCTCCCAAAGAGTCGATAGGTACCACAGTGCTTGAAGAGCAGCTTCCTGCTAAAGTGACCGAGGTGACTACGACAGCAACGGCCCCGACCCCGGTGGTGCCGTACACTGTTGCCGCTCCCACGGGCTCACCGCTTGATGGCTTGCTGCCAGAAAAACCTGAGGACTGGCTACGATTTGCTAGACAGCCCAAAGCTCAGGAGCTTTTGCGGCAATTCTGCACTACGTGCGGACAGTGGCTCGTATCGGTCAAGAGCGTCAAGTTGCACTATCGCTCGGTGCATCAGGCTCTATATACGACGCACGGTGCGTCTGCGGCAGCAGATTGCCGAAAAATGGGGCATCTCATTTCACCCTGCGTCTTTTGCGGCACTAAGGTTACACGAACCGACCAGCATGCTGCAACATGCCCGGTCCTTTGGCAAGCCCGCATCTGTTGTCTTGCTCGGAGTAGCTTGGTTTCACCTGCCCCTGCTCTGGTCGCTCCTCCCAATTGCGATGGCAATGGAGAGCTTGCAAATGGACCTCGACCAGGAAGAACAGAGTGTGTTTGGAGGGCTTCTAGGGAAAAGAGCCCTGCAGACGGACTTGACAGAGAATCCAACCAAATATCAGCATCCAGGAGGCAAAGGCCCTCCGCCGCATCGGAGCAGCGGCACGCGCCAACAGCAGCAACCGTTGACGGGACGCGGCCGCCATGCGGCCCCCTTTCAGGGGAGCCGGGGCAGCGACGTCCCAGACAATCGCAATGGACCCTCCAAGATGCCTTCGGGAGATCATGCTCTGCTGCATCGAGTTGCAAAGGCCCTCATCGTCCAAGCGGACTATCTGTCGCGCCTTCAGAGCGATCACACTGTCATCTTCACATTTCGAACAGGCAACGGCCCACAGCTGATGGTGCCGCTTCTCCAGGAGGTGGCGACCACTTGGCGCGAACAACGACAGCAGAACAAGGTGACCCGCTCCTTGAAGCAAACTCTCATCCAATATCTTGCAGCCGAACTGGTGACCAGGATCAATGCCTTCGCAGCCGACGCCGAGTCCCAGAAGAAGGCCCAGGAACTAGGATGGACCACGTCGGAGGGGGAGTTCAACTTCTTGGACTGGGACTTCGAGGACAAGAAGCTCGTCCCCCGGCAAGGGGAGACGCTTACTCACGATCAACTCCTCACAGATGCCAAGAGACTCAAAGCCCTGCTGAAGAATCCAGACCTAGTCTTGAAGTTCAGCGGAGGCCGCAACGCCAAGCCCGACTCGACATCCGAGACAGCGACCTTTGTGTTGGAGCTGTCCATGCAGCAACCAGAAGCATCGGAGGCGATGGCGATCTTCCGGAAATGGTATGCCAACTCAGCGCTCCTGCTCCTCTCTCTCCGGCTCAAACCGGCCCGCCCAGAGCGGTCGCCGTTGATCAAGGAGATCCAGGAGGCTGTGGGATGGTAGATGGCAGGGAACTCAGATCTGTGTGCATTCCTGCTGCACTGCTACATCTTGCACTGCGCAACCCAGACAATCTTTGTTACATAAATGCCACTGCGTATCTGCTAGCCTACATTCAACACCTTGCAGGACCCTGTGCTCCAGTCCATGGCACCCAGTCTCTTGAGCGATCACTGCAAGAGTTGTTAAGTGCTCCTGTCCCTATACCTGGAGAGCGGATCACCATCCCTGACCTCCCTGGGTGGCACTCTTCTCTCAGCGGCTGGACGAACCTGCATCGCCAGCAAGATTGCCTTGAGCTCATACATCACTTATTTGACCAACACTGCCCAGCACACATGCGATGTCAGTGGGAGGCAAGACCGATACCAGGTACTGTTGCGGCACGCAGACCCCTTATCAGTGGTCTATTCAACATTGACCTCCCTCTCCCTAAGAAAACCTCCAGTGCCACCATCCAAGAATGCATTATCAGCTGGCACGAACAGAAGATTCCCCACGGCCTTCTCCAAGCACCGCCCTACCTGCTCACCAGCCTTGCCCGATATGCCAACCCCACCAAGGGGAAAAACAAGACGTGTATCCCCTGTAAAGCCATGCAGCGAGTCAGTTTCCCTGTCTTTCGAGGCCCTGGACATGAGATCCAATGGGCCACCTACGAGCTGGTGGCGGGGATTTTACACCTGGGGCCCTCGCCCCAGCAAGGCCACTATCGTGCATTTCTTGCGCATCCACGTGATGCCCAAAACTTTGCATCCCAGGTGTCTGCAACTTCACGGCCAGAAGATGTGGCACCTGCAAGTGCACCGGGGATTTCGGCCCCCTCGGGGAGACCGTCGGCCCCTTCGGGGAGCCTGACCTACACCTGGTGGTGTACAGAAGATGGTCAACCGCCCGAGCTGTGTCATCCAACATATGCTCGAATCCTGAGTGAGAATTGCTATATTCTCGGCTTTCGTCTCACTAAGCTTTGATCTGTATAGCCAGTGATGCCGGTGTTAGAGTTAGTATCGAACTGCGGACTGCAAGTCCATGTAGTCAGAGCTCGATTTCAGTTTCAGTCTCAGCTCATCGAGCTGATATTGTCTAAGGCGATGTACATTACAGCTCTCGTTAGCCGCGCTGAATTCATTTCTGAATTCGGCGTGTCGCCTACGCCGCGCAAGGGACCAGGGGACGGTTCTGCGATCGCAAAGTCAAAAAGTCTCTCTCTCTCTCTGTCTCTCTCTCTCTCTCTCTCTCTCTCTCTCTCTCTCTCTCTCTCTCTCTCTCTCTCTCTCTCTCTCTCTCTCTCTCTCTCTCTCTCTCTCTCTCTCTCTCTCTCTCTCTCTCTCTCTCTCTCTCTCTCATGCAGTGACATGTCGTGCCATGTTCTTGAGATGTTTTAGTTTTTTGTTTTTTTTAGCTAGGACACAGATTTGGTCGAATGGAGGGCCTAAACTTGAACTGCAGGATTTGAGCTGTCATCGGGGTTGGGCTGTCTGGGGGGCAGCGATCTGTCCAAAGGAATGCTACTGCAAGTGACCGTTTCTAGCGATAGTTTTCTTTCAGATGGTAGGCCTCTCTCCCTCCTCCCCCTCCTCTTCGTTTTCCTCCTCCTTCTTCTTTCCCGCTCCCTCTCTCCTCCCTCCTCTCCTCTTGCTGCAGGCGTGAGCGCATGCTGTCTTGTCACTTCCTGCGGATGTCTCTGGATGCAGTGGGGTTTCAGTTGGTCACTTTTCGCGTTGCTAGGAGCTCAGCGGGAGGTCTGTACAGGCCGTTCGCTCCCGACCTCGATAACGGTACCGGGAAAACGACCTGTACGGCAGGCTGCCCACAACTCCCCGGATCATACCAGATACATGAGCGCAGGCACAGTGAGTCCTTCCCCATGAGTCCCAATGCAGTAACGCACACCCCTGCTTGTCTGCAACATCAAGCAACTTGCGTCTCGACCCTCTATCGCAAAAGTGAACCAGGGCACCTCCTGATCTTTCAACCCTACGGCGAGTTCTGCGGTTCCACCCCGGTTCTGCTCTCGTTTCTCACTGAAGGCACTACTTCATCCCACATGGAGGCTGGAATGGAAGGAAACAACCTGGCAACAAGCAACCTAGTGGCCGCTATACCCTCTAAACCACCTTTGCATAGGGCCTCTGCAAGCTGAGGCTCTGCTCATGAGTCACATATCGGCCAGGATGCATCTCACCCTTGCATCCTGGGTGTCGCGAGCCTCCACATGCGTCTCAAACTCGCTGATGAGTGTCAGAGCCGACTCAACTGACGTTTCGGGACAGCCGGAAGAAGCATCCACACTCAAAGGGCCTTTAGACGGGTGGCAGATTGCACAAACGTCCTTGGTCCAATTGCAGCAAGGCTGCAACCGAAACGATTGGGCTAACCGGGGTCGGGCTGAGAAGGGTCCCGGCCTGGTTGATATGCAACTGGCACTTACCGCAGGCCAACTCCACATCAAGCGTAGGAAGCATAAGCTGATCACGAGCCGCGGTCCTCAAGCACGCTGTCGCACCACCGTCCACCAAACCTCGCCGCGCACCCCTTGACTCACGTCACTTAACTGCATTGCGGCTTTGACATGGTGGGATACCTTTGCTATGCGCATACTCTGCAGAAGCTTGGTTGCCTCCTTTATGGCTGCGGTAGCATCACTGTTCCCTTTCCCACTGTGGGTTCTGCCTTACCAGCTTGCCCTTAGGGGGGGTCTTAGGATCGGGTTTGCCCTTATCCTTACCTTGGTTTACCGGGTTCTGTGCCCTAACCTTAGGCTCTGGAGCAGGGCCTTTTCCTCCTCCAGGCGCAACACAGTCCCTTTTCTGATGGGCTCCTCCACCTTCTGATGGGCTCCTCCACTGCAATTTCGGCCAAACTTGCAACCTGCATCCGCCCACCCCAGGACCTTCGCCTTTACCCTGAGCCTTCTTAGAAGCCTCAGCACCAGCACTCTCGGCCCAGCACTCTCGGCCACGGTCTTGCCAGAGCCTTCTGCGTTGTTCGGCTCCAGTGAAGCAAGAGAAGCCGCCCTTCACTTCTTCAGCAGGGAGTGCGAACTGTTCGACAGCGGTGTGAGTAGGTATCGTGTCCAATTGGAGTGCCATGCGGGTGGTGTTAAGGCGAAGAAGGAGAGAGGGATTCCTCTCCAACATAGGCTTGGCCATGCCATCTAACGCGTCCAACAGTAGCGGCCAATCTGGCGCTGCGACTCCCATACTGCGGGGGAGCCTCTGGCAGAGTGGTGAGCCCCTTCAACAACTCCGTGCGTTCGTGGAGTCCTACCGGCTGGTAGAGATCAACCCAACACATGTGGTGTTCCTGCTGCTCAGCGCATTGTCGTAGATCGCTTGTGGAACAGCCTTACTCAGCATTGCCAGCCCTCTTGACTCCAGCCTGAGAAACTTTTCAGCCTTCAGTGCCTCAGACGGGGTTCCTTGAATCCCCAACCGCTCCAGCGGAGCGGCTGCCAACCACATCCTATATGCTTCTCTGTCCTCTTCCATAACCTTGCCCCGCCACAATAAGCCTTAGGAGACAAATCATGCAACAGGGACTGAATCTTGTGCAGCCAGTCTGCACACCTTAGTGCGGCGTATGCCTCGCTAACTGGTCCCAAACGCGGAAGCTCCCACATGGTGCGGGCACCTGGCATAAACTCACGCGCCTCTGAACCAGATTCCTGCAAATGGTCCGCGCTCAGACGCGGAGGGGTCGCTGGAGGAGTTCCATGAGGGATGCGTGTTCCCCCCGGCGTTGCTGGTGATGCAACTGGCTTATTTGCCCCAAACTTTCGCCTAGAGTCCTAGAGGTAGCAGGACTAGGGCTATTACGTGTCTTCGGAGGGGTCCCTGTGGACCTTGGTGGCATCAAGCTGGCGGTGGTGGAACAAACTCTTCACTCCCCCGATCGATTGGACGCTTTGGAACGGAGATCGAGCCTTTGGATCGAAAGGGTTCTGAGGCGGAGACGGTCCTCCAAACACTGGCAACGGGGGAACTGGCTTTGATCCCTGTTCCTCTCTGCTGGCTCGGCTTACCTCATCCTCGGACGCTATTGAGAAATCCGGCCCAGCCTGCAGGACCTGCACCCTCCCTTCTGACTCTCCCTCACGAGCAACCCCGTCTATCATAACCGTAATCTTCTGCAGCTGCAGACTCCCAGCAGCTCTACCGCTCCGAGATCCTGAAGTCTGAACTCCTTCGCCACCCCTGACTACACCTCCATCTTCCTGTTTGATGCTTTGCAGTTCATCGATCATACTTTGCCGCTCAACCTCCTCAAAAGAATCCCACAGCTGATCGCCTGTGCCATTAGCAGGATGAGCCGTGCTACCAGTGGCCTGTCTGTGCACGCGACATGCAGAGTGCCCGCATGCGTATGGAGCCTGCCTGATACGTTTAGCGAACTCCAGAGCAACTTTTGGGTTCAAGTCTTTATGGGCACCACTCACGAGTGGGTAGGACCTAAAAAAGTTTGACCGCCCTCTGGCGTGAGACCGCTTTCGGGCGAGAGCCGCTATGCCGGGCCCTTGGACCAGATTCCGCAAGGATGCGGATGCGTGGGCCACCTGGAGCCCCCGAGCGGGAGAGTACTTCCGGGTGATCGCCTGCGACCCGAAGAATTCAGCGGGCCAGTGGTTGCACACCGCCATGGTGGCGGTGTCAGACGAGTACCTCCAGTGGTGGCTCGACGCCGACCCTGGCTACACAGCTGACAGTGTGCACGTGTGCACCAAGCCATACCCCGCTGCAGGGCTCACAAAGGAGGCTAAGAAGGCCAAGCCGGACCGCGGTCCCTTCGGCGTGGGTACGAAGATCCAGTTGGGGGCGAGATAGCCACGCAGTCCTCAGAGTCGGATTTTCAAGATATGGTGTTTGCCCTGGAGCCGGGTCACGTCCCCACCGACGGGGTTCGGCCTAGGTTCAGCCTCAGACATCAGATTTGATCGATTTGGAACATTGATTTCTGAAACGTGTGGAATCGGTATTTTGAGCACCTTAGATTTTTCTGACATCAACTCGACCGACGAAGTCCCTGCCCTCGCATTCCCCCACGGTGCATACTGTGCATTCTCGTTTTTTTGGCTCCTTCAGCTTGTGCGACGTCCCAATTTCAGACTTGAAGCAATAAAGTTATAAGTGCTCATGTGCTTAAACTGGGAATTCTGGGATTTTGGAGTAAGCTGATTGTAACACTCTGAGACGTCCCATAAATTCAGAAAGCTGGGATAGGTTTTCGGGTTTAGAGCAGCTGGCTCACAATGGAGGTTGTTGTGTGTTTACCGGAAACTTTCGGTACATCCGACGGCGGCCGTGGCGGCCGTTCCGGTGCGAGGGTCGCCAGAAACAAGCTGCCCCAATGGCTGGTGCTGTGTACAGTGCTTGCGAAGGAACGTGAGCATGCTGAGATCACACATCTGTGCCGTGCCACAGATGTGTTTGACAGTTGGAGCAATGCGACCCCAGCAGAGCTTCATGAAATCCAGGTTTGGAGCGGTTTCGGCCAAAGACAGAGGAAGCGTGATAGGCAAGCTCAGAAAGAGTTTTTTGTTTCGTGCTGGATCGTTGCTTTCTGTGTAATTTGTGCACGTGTGAAGTATCATGTTGTGTGTCGTGGCACAAGCGCTCTAGCAGGAAAAAGTGCGTAGCTACTCAATGGTATTCTGCGTTGCTTGCTAACACTTGGACGGGTATAATCAGTGCGTGTGTGCAGTGGTTATCTACAACTATAACTATAGGTTATCAGCCGTGTAGCCTACGGCCTGGTCACAACTGGTTGGGTACAGTACAATCAGTGCATGAGCGAACCGGAACCTATTCCAGACATGGATGCAGTTACAAGCGCCGCGAATCCGACGCAGACCCCGGTTACGGGTGGCCATGCAGGAACAGGCGCCCCGGCTTAGTTTTCCCGGCCCCAGCCTCGGTCCAACAATTCAACGTCTTCGCACCTCAGTACAGTGTCGAAGTACATGTCAATCAGATCAGGCGAGAAGTCGGAGAACTTGAAGCTCAGGCAGAAGCAAGACACAGGCAACACATGCTGACCTATCAAGAAGCATCCGCAATCCAAACAGCAGACTTGGAGCGCAGAGCAGAACGTAATCACCTTGAAGTGGTAGCGGAACTGCAAGCAGCCTTGGCCTCCAGTGAGTACAAGGCAGCCAATCGTGAAAAGCTGCTGTTGGCTGAAATGACTTTGAGTCAGGCGCATACCTATGACGAAGACAACGTACAGGTTGCGCCAAGAACTCGCAGAACTTCAACAAAGCCGAATCACAGATGCACTGGACCAACAATTTGCGGAATCGCGCTTTGCACAGAACCTGGAAGAACAGGCAAGACAGCGCATCGAAAATTCGCAGGAAGTCATGGTGGAACAATTCCAAGCACATTTTGAGTTGTTCAAGAACAGGCAGAAAGAAGAGTACGAGGCATCCCTCAGTCAGTCAGTTCAGGGAATAGAATGAAGAGCTTCAGGACAGATTGGATTCTGCTGAGACCGCATTAGAGAAGGTCTTGGATCAGGTCAATCCAGCTGCCCCTAAGGCCCTAAGGGCCAGCCAACCCCTGCTCCAAGCACTGCTGCAGGTCCTTCTGTCTTCCCAAAGGCTCCTCAGGCGCCGATGTTCTCGATGCCCAATGCTCTCCCCCAAGGTGCTAGATTTCTGTAAGACAATGAACCCAGGTGTTTTGAGTGCACAGCCCATTCCGTCTGCAACACCATCTGCAACCCCGAAAGCAGGACCTTCCCAGGCACCGCCGCCAGGAACAGCGGCCCCTCCAGCGGCCGATTCCGGCGCGCCAGTGTCCGAGGTCTTCAACACAGGTCTCCTTGAGACCTAGATGGCAACCCTCCAGAAGTCTCAAGGGCCTCAAGGGTGAGCCCAAAGACGAAACAGGCAAACCCAAAGTGAAGGAAGCAGAGTCCATAAACCTTCCGGAGTTCCCCAGTCCAGAGTCGTATCGTTCGTGGAAAACGGCAGCGAGGGAGGCGGTCAGGGCAGCATCAGACTCCCCTGATGAGGCATTTAAATGGGTGATGAAGGCTTACGACAAAGACCCTACCAAAACCTACCAAGAGCTAAGGGACCCCGAGATTTCCTTACCCTCGATACGAAACTCCTAGCTGCACTCACCAAAGTTGCTAGGGGAGAACTGTCCCGCGAAATCCTCATGTTTAAGGAGACAGAAGCGGCCAAGTTCAGGGCGCTCTTCGATCAGTACTTCAAGACGAACGAGGAGGTGGGCTCCCTTTACTCCGTTGAGGATCTGCTAAAAGTTAGGCTCATCAACGATGACCTTTCTGTCTTCATTAGCAACTGGGAATCTGTCATGTCAGGACTTAGCCACACGCCGGACGAAACAACCCTGAGAGACATCTTCCTTCGTGAACTTAGGCAGTCCAAAAGGCTTAAGTACGACCTTGAAATCTATGACAGGGCAGCAGACGGGACAGATCAACACACGTACAAATTCCTCGTAAAGTCGCTCAAAGATCTTTTGACAAGAGAGCGCAAACGTAAGAATCGTGACCGCATTGCACGGTCTCACGGGGATACGTACGGTGCCCCTGCTTCCAAGTCACCTGGTCGCACTTCCAGCCCCTCTTCGAGAGGAGGCCGTGGCAGGTCGCAGAGCCCAAGGCCCAGATCACCTAGCCAAGGCAGGTCCCAGTCCCCTGGTAAGTCCAGGTCTCCTAGCCCAAAGGGATCGAGAGGTGGCAAGTGTCGGTTCCAACATAAGGACATTGAGAAGCCTTCAGCTCCGAAGTCTGAAGCCGCCCCACCACCCCCCAAACCAGGGTCTCCAAGGGCTAACTCCCCAGCTCCGCGCAGAGGGAGAAGTCCGTGGGTGCAGTCAAGTGACAAGGCGCCAAAGACCGCCGCATGTGCCATTGCATTCGAGAATTCAGCGGATCTTGAGATCTCGCCAAAGCTTGCTATGGCTGCGTCACATGATGAGGACTTTTGGGAGGTAAACTTCACCAGCAACATCCGCCATCACAAGAAGTACCGAACAGATTGGTATGTTCCAGACAACTCCTGTCCTGTGAACCCCAAGAAGCTAGGAGCCAAGCGAAGCTCGAGCAGGTGTTACCGGTTTCTCCTTATGTGCGAAGCAAAATCTACAATTGGAGAAAGGCCCCATCAAATGACCCGGCAGCACTTGGGTAGGTAAGACAATCTTCTACTTGCAGGAGCTCCCTAAGGTGAGTTTCGACAACACTGTGGAGATGATCGCAAGAGCCTGAGGGTAAGAGGCGCAAGCTTGCCTACCTTCCCAGAGTCTACGATCAAACCTTTCCCACTGCCGAACAGTGTCCCCGCTCGAATCCTAAGGATCTGAAGAAGGCACTTGTGTGGGCCAAACAGTTCGCCAACATGATTGAATGCAGTGTCCAAGGAATGCCTGCAGGGAAGACACCTTACTTCGTGACACCGGAAGGCCGAAAGCTGTATTGCAAGCTGCGCGGGCGAGTTCCCGTAATCGGCGATGGCACAATTGCCATGCCTGCCAACGACCAGGGATGAGCAGTCGGCGCATTCGCCAGTCGTCCAGGCATCATCGGGTTTTCCCCGTTCAGCGGCCTACTAAGGCACGCCAATGCAGCAGAAACCGAGCCGGAAGGTGAGTCCTCGGGTAAAGGCCTCGACCCCAGGATTGAAAAAGCTTTGAAAGAGGTCTCGCCGCTAGGTATCAAGGCGGAGTACTTGCACAAACCAGGTTGGGTTTCATTTCCTTCCTTTCCCCAAATGATCGTGGGGCACTTTCCCAAAGCCTTTAGAACACCTGGGTCACCTGCAACGAGGTTTCCAAAGCACGTCATCCGGAGTACTTGGACTTATGTCAAGAAATGGCAGGAGATCAAAAAGGACGTGGATGTCAGGACGTTGGTCAATAGGGTAGCTAAGCTTCCTTCTGATGCCTGCATTCTCAGCATAACGATCTTTAAAAGACCTGCTGATGACCCCGAGCCGGAGCCTGATAGCGACAAAGAAGCTGAAGCTGATCCAAAGGACGAAAAGCGTACAGCCCAGCTTAAGCTGCAGGCCAATAGCCCAGAACACAAATTCACCCATCGTCCTAAGAACCCTTTCTGCAAGGTATGCCAAAAGGCCAAAATGCTGCTGGCGGCACATGCCAGAAAGCGAGGGGGGAGCTCCACTATCTTTTGACCAAGCGGCGTTTGCGTGCCCGCTTGTGGTTCGGCATTTCCTTGGTCGGAAACGGCGCCGAACCCCAGGCCGAGGGTCCGCGGACCAATTGGCCCCGCTGGACTTCTTCCTCCAGCCGTCCTGCGGGGATCCGAGGTCACCTTCTCGCCTGCGAGGCCGTAAACCTCTAGGTCCGCCCGGACCGAATCCCAGTCCCGGGCGTCGGCCTTGGCCTTCCAGTAGGCCTCCATGCGAGCCGCGACGTCCTCGACTTCCTTGTCGAGCTTCGCACGCTCCGCCGCGGAGAGCTCTTCTCCCGACTTCACGTCCGGGAGGGGCATCTCCGGGACTGGTGCCGCACCAGAAGGCGCCGGCCCAGGGCTCGCAGCCGCAGGGAGGCTGCGGACCGCCTCCGGCGAGGTATCACCGCCGCCCCTCAGACCAATGTCTGGGAGGGACGCGCAGAACGCCGCACCCTGAAGGTTAAAGTCCGTAACCTTACCCCTGCCGTGCTCGTGGGGAACAGCCCCCAAAGCGTCCGGCTTAGAGCACCTGAAGCCCAAACGCGAAAGGTCAAAGTCGGAGAGCCAAAACAGGTTCCTCTCGACTATTGGAGTCCCGCGTCCCGAAGGGCGCAGGAACTGACAAGTATCCGACCGAACGAAGCCCCAAGGCCAG